AAAGAGAGAAAAACCATCCCCAAATGGGACATGAACATGGCACTATCACTTATCTTCCATTTCTCCTCAGCATGGTTTTCAAGTTACCATGTTTGGAACTCAAGCTGCGGCCCTGTGGGATCTGGTTCCCAGTGCGTACTTACTACACTTGTAGGACTGGCCCCATATACTTTCTCTTCTGTCCAAGCCTTTGCCCTCATTGTTTCTTTTGCTGGTAACATTCACAATAGTGCACAAACTAAAATGCCTACATAGCAAAACAGAGAAAGTGAAAAAGCAAAAAAACTCCAGAGAGAAAACAGTGTATGGTGAGTTACCAAAGGCAGTTCAGGAGCTGGTTTTTCAAATATGATCCGTTTACTTTTTCATTTTGTTTTCTGTTTGGCCTGGCGTGCATGGTGGGAGCTGGAAGTGAGATCTTAAAGGGGGCAAGCACAGCTCGACCTTGATGCTCTATTCTGTATAGCATAGATTACGGGCCATGTCTAAAGTGTGGTCCATTCTGAAGAAAGTCACCAGGGAGGTGAAGAATTTTTTAAAATACCAGCAATGTTTAACCTTTTTAAGGTTATGCCTGAAGAGCTGTTTTATAAAAGATGAAGTGAACTTTATACACACACACACACACACACACACACACATTGATGACTGTAAAGATCATGAATAATTCCAAATGGACAGAAATATAGGAATGTATACTTTGTTTCCAAATTAGGAAAAAAAAATATCTAAGGACTGGTACTGCCTCAGCCAGAAAGGGCTGCCTCCTGAGACAATAGTATTGCTCTTGTTTAAGATATTCAGATACTGATTTTTCAATCACGTGAAGAGAATTTACGCATTCAAGTGGTGGTTCCAAAGCACAATCTCTGGGCCTGATTTAGAAAGCCTCTCAGGTTGGGACCAGCAGTTAGCGTAATGGCTATGTCGCCGGACTCCCACGTAGTTCACCACGGTACGCATCCCAGGCCCGGTGGCTTAAACTCACGCTGGGTGCATGTGTATGTGCGTACCCAAGATCCCAAGAGGAGAATGGAGGAGAAGGGATTGTGGTGTGGACATCCCCCTGGGGGGTGATTTCTTGTTTTCTCTCTGTCTCTCTGTCTTTCTGGCGAGCACACACGCCCTATAGCAAAAACCGAACAAGTTTTCATTTAAAAACTCTATAAATTCTAATTCTAGTTCTGATTACTAGTTACTTGTTAAACTTGCAAAATTTTCCTTCTCAATCTCATTTTAATGATCATCATTTTACAGATTTGAGGTTTAATAAAATTGTTTATGACAAGTATCAAAATATCTAGCTCAGTGTCTGGTTATACTGAGTGTTCCAAAGTTCTATAGTTCTAAGGATGTTGAAATTAATGAATAGACCATCGGAATGTATACACATTTGATGGGTGGGTGTATATTCTCTGCTGCCTTTTAGCTTTCATGTATTATGAATCCTGGTTTCTATATTCTGTTTCTGTCAAGGTATGTATTGGGTTGTCAGAAAAGTCATGATGCATTTTTGCATAGAAAAATATGTCATGACTTTCCCAATGACCTAATATTTACTATTTTAAAAGCCAGGGACCAGCAGTTAGCATAATGGCTATGTCGCTGGACTCCCACGTAGTCGACTGCAGTTCGAGCCCTCGACCTGACGGCTTAAACTCACGCCAGACGCGTGTGCATGCATGCCCAAGATCCCGAGAGGAGAATGGTGGAGAAGGGATTGTGGCGTGGCCATCCCCCCTGGGGGGTGATTTCTCGCTTTTTGTCGGTCTGTCTTTCTCTGTCTGTCTGGCGAGCGCATGCGCCCTGTAGCAAAAAAAAACTCTTCCAAAAAAAGAAGAAAAAAAAAGTCACAGAGTAAATAATACTATCTTTTGCCTGCTATAATTTTTAAGGAAAACTGTCTTTTTTCTAAATTGGAAATGTCTGATAAGAATTTATATTGTTAATTTTACAACAGATGGTGGGAGGGAATTAACTGTGTGCATTTTTTGTTTTCAATTACAGGTTTACGGGACCGTTATATAATTTTTTTATTAAAATGGAAAACTGTGAAGAAAGAAAAAGATAGCAGTTGGAGTTAAAGTCTCTGGAGCAACATTTTGCTTTTAAGAAGTCAGCATTTAAAAACGATATGCTGATTTGGAAGGTTCTGGGAGTACACTGCAAACTTTATTTTTTCCATTTGATCGATGGATTTTTTAATCCTTCCTTGGAGTTGATGAAGTTTGGAGATGGTGTGTGATGGGAAATGTGGTGTGCTGGTGTTTTTTTAGTGATTGCCTCTTGGATTAGTTTGCTGCTTTTTTGAAGAGATTCCATTGAAGGGCAAGAACCGAATGTGATGGATTTATCTTCAGAAATGAACAGACATGGGAAAAATCCAGTGAGTCACAAGCTAGAAGATCAGAAGAAGGTAAGACAAATTTCTTTTTTGCTTGGTCTTTTTTGCTTATATTTGAACAGAAGTTTATAAATTGAAACTGAACATTCCTTATGAGATAAAGTAACATTAGTTCATGGAAATAAATCCTGCTATATAGCAGTGTTGCTATGGGACTGGATTTTATTACCAGTTGGCAATTTCGTTACTAAAGCCTTTTGAATTTATCCATCCAATGGACTGGCAAGGATTCCAGTGTGTTCTCTCACTTGTGACTTCATGTTAGTGACCTACTGACCTGATCTTATGTGAGCAGTTCTCTGAGATTGAGAGTGAGGCATTGAATACTGGGTATCTTTGGAGTGAGGAAACAAGAGTGCTCCTTAAATAGAGTACCTGCCTCACTGTGGTCAGAAGGCTGAGGTAGTATTTGAAATACTCCAATTTCACAGCCATGGGGTCCGTCAACTTGGGCCATTTCACTTTTATAGCTGGCCTTGAAATTGAGGTAACAGTGAGCTTTGGTTTGACTCCTTCATGTGTGATGTCAAGGGAGCTAATGGAAAATATCAAAAAAGGACTCTGCTAACATTAAAAAAAGAAAGGTTTAGAGAGCTTCTGAGTAAGAAGCTGAAATTGAAAACTGAGAGTAGCACTTAAATCTCATTTCTTCACCTTTTTAGAAACTCTTACCTGCTAAAACACTGCACTATGGTAAGAAACATCTAGAGAGCACTTACTAGAAGGGTCAGAGATTGTTCCAGGAGATACAGCCCCACATATAATGAAACGTATTACGTTTTGCAGTGCTGTGTTTGACTTTTAGTATAGGAGAAGAGTGTGGGGCCGCAGCAACTAAGGCACAAGAGCAAGGGATAATGAGATAATAGAAGAGAACTCTTTAGTTAGACATGGATCTAAGGGGCATGATTAAAGTTTGTTTTAACATCTTTCTTAGAGAATTTGTTTGGTAGCCACTTTGTATGTCCCAGAAAACAACTAACTTTCAAAGTTTTGGAGTTAGGGACTTTAGAAGAGGGTACGAGGAGTTAAAAGCTTATTAATTTTGTTTGACTATTAAGATCAATGCTACTAGAATGAGCTTCAGTGTTTTCTTTGCCATTAATTGAGATGGAAATGGATGGATTATTTTTGCCCTGTTTGGTTCATTTATTGGATTTATCTGCGGTGTAAGTAAATTTCAGAAAATACTAAATACTATAAAATCCAAGGTGCTTGAAATAAACAAATAAAAGTGTTACCAAGAATATTGGTGTCACAAATGGCCAGTATTTTTATTTTT